GCTGAACTGTGGCCACGGCCTGTGTGTGGGCTGCCTGCACCGGCTGCTGGGTGCAGCCCCCAGTGCTGACCTGGGCCGGGTGTGCTGCCCGCTGTGTCGCCAGAAGACACCCACGCTCGAGTGGGCGATCTGCCGGCTGCAGGAGGAGCTGCTCCAGGCCGATGGGCCCCAGCGCCCTGCGCCCGCCGCCCTCCCCATGCCGCCCCGCCGGGGCCCCGGGCCCTGGGCCTCCCTAGAGCACCGCTACCAGCTGCGCTTCCTGCCGGGGCCTGTGGGCAGCCGAGGCTGCCTGCCCTTCCTGCCCTGCCCACCCTGCCTGGGCTCCCGGCTCTGGGCCCTGCGGGAACGGGGGCCCTGCGCCCGCCGCCTGGCGCTGCTGGGGCTGCTGGCCCTCGAGCTGCTGGGGCTGCTGCTCATCTTTGCTCCGCTCGCGCTGCTGGGGCTGCTCTTCGTGCTGCTGGACAGCTCCCGCCGCTAAGCAGAGCCCGTCACGGCCACCACCAGCACGGCCTGCGTCTGGGACAGCCATGGCCGCTAGCGGACAGGAGGCCCCGACCGGCCCGAGCCTTGGTGCCATGGGGCCTTGGGAGTACCTTGCCCTGAGGCCCAATGACCAGGCTGAAGGACCCAAGGGTGTCCGGGGCACTAGCCTTCAACCAAGACCCAGCACCCGGGCAGGGCCACCCAGGAGTCTGTGTTCAGCGTCTGACCCAGCCAGAGACTCCAGACTGCCCTGCGGCCCGAACATGAGCCACTGATGCCCAGGACAGCACTGGAGGAGGTCTGTGACCAGGGCCCCAAGTGCCCCTCGATGGACAGGCCCCACATGCTGCTGGGCTGTCTCTGCCCTCCTGCCTGGCCTGCCTACAGGAGCGGGACGGGACGGGTGCAATGGACACGAAAGTGAACACAGGCCTGGCAGGGAGTCGAGTCCTTGGAGTGGGCGGAGCCCTGGGCCGGGGCTGCAGGCCCCCCACCTGCCCACGTTCCAGATAAGGCCCAGCGTATGTTCCCTGAAGGTCAGGGTAGCCAAGGGGAGGGCCCCTGCCGCACAGGCCCAGCCCACAAAGGGCCTGCTCACCTGGCCAGTCAGGATCCAAGTGGCGACCCTGAACAGCCGGAGGGTCAGCACATGCCCCTCAGCTTCAAGGGACGTGGGCCCAGCCAGGCCCTGGAGACACAGAGCACGAAGCTGGGCCCCAGTTCTGCTCCCGCCTCCTCTGTGACCTCCCTTAGTGGAGCCGGGGCCTTTATCTGAAGGACAGGCGCCGTCACAGCACCACCTCCTGGGCTCGTTGGTGACATGCTGAGCCCTGTGCCCAGCGCAAGATGGCTCTTGGTAATAAACGGTAGCTGCTACTGATACTGTTGTGGCTACATCGCTGTCATCTTTATCCTGCCTTCACCAACCAGGCGACAAAGTTCCTTCTCCAAATCCAGGTCGTTCTACTGCCAGACAGGAGGCCCTCCTCCGGCCCTCATACCTGATCGTGACTGCGGCCAGCCTTTGTCCCAGCCCCAGCCCAGGCTGGCCCCAAGGCCATTCTCACACAACCTCAGAGGATCAGGTAGGCACCAGGGGCCAGCTGGACTGACTTCTCCCCCCGTTGGCTGCACTCACATCCAGCGGCCAGTGCAGAGGAAGCATCCTCCCTTTGCCCAGCTAGGCCTGCTTTGCACACCTGCCCCCACAGTCCTGCCTGGCACATACAGGAGGCTGGCTCCGCATAGAGGTGAGGTGTGGGCGTACAAACACACGCGCACGCGCGCGCGTGTGCGCGCGTCAGGCCCAGCCCTCCTGAGCAGCGTGCCTGGACCAGACTGGCCCCCAGCGAGCAGACCAGGTTGACCCAAACAGCATTGGGCCTTCCTCTGGCTGCTCCAGCCTGGACCCTGTCAGGGCTGCAGCCCTGCGTGCCCACCCTGGCCCAGGCCTGTGCGCAGGCCTAGGCTTCAGTCCAGGGAACGAGGTGCAAACTTTGGCAGAGTTTTAATGGCAAGGTTGGCTGCAGCGACAGTGCCACGCGGGTGGGGGCCAGAAGCTGTGGTGGGCAAGGGGTCAGTGGGCAACAGGGCGGGGCCAGATCCCTGAAGGAGCAGCGAGCGAGGACCGGTGGGCGCTGGTGGGCGCTGGCGGGTGGGCGGGCGGGCACTACATGATGGAGCAGGCAGACAAGGGGTTCCGCACGTGGCAGGTGCACGCGGCCCCACAGTACTGCCGGAAGGTCTGGTAGCAGCTGCCCTCAGGCTCGCCCCCCCACTGGCCACCAGACGGAGCGGTCAGTGCCTCGGGTGGCAGGCGGCTCAAGATGGATGTGTTGACGGCCAACGCAGCCAGGCCGTAGTCAGTGAAGAGCACAGTCTCGCGGCGGCAGGTGGGACAGGAGATGAACTTGTACTTGGGGCAAGACTCGTAGAGAATCTGCAAGCACTGCTCACACACGGAGTGCAGGCAGGACAGCACGCGGGGCCGCCGCTGCGTGGCGTTGTACGTGTGCCCGCAGGTGGGGCACTCCAGAGGCTCTCCTGCAGCTGCTGCCGCCGCCGCGGAGGCCCCCGAGGCCGCAGGGCCAGGCCGAATCACGTACTGGTTCACGATGACCTCGTCTGCCGGCGCCACTCGGGGGAAGCCCAGCTCCGCGCTGCCCTTGCGGGGCCGACGTGGCAGTGGCGGGGTGCAGGGCGGCCCTTCCAAGGCAGGCATGTCCCCCCCACAGGCCTGGTTGACGATGATCTCTGTGTCTGAGGGCCAGGCTCTCTTGGGTGCCAGAGCGGGGGTGGGCCGGGGTGCAGGTGGGAAGCAGGGGGCGGCCGCCTGCAGCTCGGGGAACTTCTCAGGGTGGACCATCTTCATGGCCTCCATCTTGAGGATGACATGGGGGCCCTTCAGGCAGGACATGAGGAAGCTTGGCCAGCCACTGCCCGCCTCGGGCTCAGGGTCAGCCGGCATCCGGCTGTCTCCAGTCAGGCTGGGTGTTGGGGTGGGTGGGGGAGTTGGGTCTGGTCCCGCCGGGCCTGGTGGGGACCCTGGACGCCCTGTGGACTCCTGGGGGAGGCTGGTAAGAGCTTGGGGGGAAGGGCCCCCCCGTGGCCACAGTGGCTTCTCAGGTCCGGTCCGAGGAGGAGGAGGAAGGAGCGGGGGCAGGCGGGTGTGGGAGACTCTGCCCTGGGCTGGAGGTCGGGCCCAGGGGCTCACCCAGGGTCTCTGGCTGCTGAGGCTGGCAAGGGGGCGTTGGGGGGTGTCCCCCTGCAGCCGAGATCAGCCGTCCCGGGGCCGGGACATCCGGGCAGGCAGGGGCTAGGTGGGCCCCATGGCTCCAGGACAGGGTGCCCAGGGAAGGCAGCTAGCCTGAGCCCTGGCTGCGGAAGGACCCGGGCTGCAAGCTCGGCGGCGGCCGCGGCGGCGGGAGCAGAGGAGAGGCCTTCACCGGGCCCGAGCTGCAGGTGAGAGACAGCGAGAGGGCAGCGCCCGGGCCCACCCTCACCCTCACCCTCACCCTCACCCTCACCCTCACCCTCACCCTCACCCTGCACAAAAGACAGGGTACCCGACCTCTGACCCTTACCCTCGCCAGACTCGGAATCCAGCCCCCTCCCCAGTCCCCGTTCCCGAGGCCCGCCTGCCTAGGAGTGGAGGCCGGCGAGCGGCGACCCCGCGCTGTCCCGCCCCGCCCGCACTCACCTGCCCCAGCCTGGCGTCCCCGGCAGGGCCGCGCGCCGCCGCCGCAGAGGTTGTCTCAAAGGCAGGCCTGGATGCGGCGCCCGCGCCTTGGCCCGGCGGCTCTGGAGGCTCTGGCGGC